AAAATTGAATAGCATCACTTCCTGTGCAGCGGTAGGCTTTCTCACCAGAAAGGTGAAGCGCACACCTGTTGTTTGAACACACTTATGGGAAAGCTCTGGTGAAACTTCTTTAATCACCGCCATATGACATCATGGAAAGTTACTTTTTCTTTCCAGCTGCAGTGCTGAATAATCAGTTTGCAGAAGAGTTGAGTTGTGACTGGAAGCTGATTAAAGCCAGCCTCTGTGGGTAAAAGAGCAGCACCCCCCCTCCTCCATATGACCGGGGAGCATGGTGGAGCTGGAAACAACCGCAAGTGCATTGAGGCAGCAGTCCCTGAGTCTGACTGAAGACTGAGGGTCTCAAGTAGACCATGTCCACCATCGTAGTTTAGCGTGTCAGCACACTGATCGGTATTAGCACATTTGCACTAGGTGGGGGACATGCCGTTAGTTTTGCAGATATTAGGTCATAGAGTATTTTGTAATAATAATAATGATCAATCATTTTGATCTGATGATAGCGCCAGAGGAAAAATGAAGGGGTCGGCAAAGTTATTACACTTGAGAGGAACATGGATGTTTGCACCAAATGTCATAGCAATACATCCAGTAGTTGTTGAGACAGTTCACGCAAAACTACAAACGTCAAAATAGGCGCCTGCGAATATTGTTTGGGGCTTTTATTGTGAAAGGTGAGAATGGAAGATGTGGATGTGCTGCCTGTAATGAAGTCTGCCGCCTTGGTTCGGACAGAGCCTTCATGTTTCATAAATACACTGTAGGCACAACTCAACCCGTTGTGCAGAAGCTCAGAAAAATCAACCTTGCTTCTAAAGACAGAAGCATGTTGCTTTATCGCTGCATTTGAGCGGTGTACAGTTTAAGAGTTATTCAAGACATATCCTTCACATTTGATTGGACTGCTATAAAGTGGGCGAGCTTAGCATGTAGCATGATAAGGAGCTACAGAGGACTGTGACTCCACACACACCTCTTCCGTCACTAAATGTTGCAGATTGATTGGTGGATGTCATGTCACATTGGTTGAAATCAGTCGGTTGTAGCTCATGTTAGCGCACGTCATATTTTGTTTTAAGAAGAAAAGATGATTGATTTTTAATATAAAACTACAAGGAAATCCACTTTAAGTAATTTATGTAGCACATATTATTGCATTAAGTACACAATATGACCGGGGATGTGATCTAAAAGACATGTTGAGTTTAAGGTGCTCGAGAACTATTGTTCAGGCTGAGAGGAGAGCCGAGTGGGAGGAGAACAGGTAAGGCTCACTTCACTGTCACCTGCAACCGGTCAACAGCAACAGATGTTAAATGCTGGTTTAGTCGTCACACTGTTCCTCACAGAGTCTGACGGCCTTAGTAAATGCACTGTGCTGCTGGAGCTGAAGAAGTGTGGAAGACATCTCACTGTGACAGTTCCCCTTAGTGAGAACGTCATGCTTCACAGAACAGGGGTTGTACATGCAGAGCTTGTGTTCGTCCACATCTTACGCTGCGTTTTCATTTGTGTGTTCCCATGATTCCTGAGGTCTCCACAGAGCTCTCTGCTCAGACCGCTGCACCGTGCTCCCCTCCTGTGTATAAAATAGCTGCTGACCCATGACCTTCACACTCACTCGCCTGTCTTTCACACAATCCCTCCCCCATCCCTCCCCCTCTGCTCTACAGATGCCACTTTACAGATGGAAATCACACAGAAGGCTCGGTAATAGTAAATAGTTTAAAGGTCAAACTTCCATTTGTCCTCCTCACTCAGAGGCCGTCTGCAGAGAGGATTTATCTGATAACTCTGGCAAAATAAAACGTACATCAGGTCTAACATAAGGAAAAAGAAGAATGCATTACCAATAATAAAAACACAGAAAGAACGTGAAAGAAAACATATATATGTATCTTTCAGGACCTTCCATCATTACCAGAATGGCATTACTTCAGGCACAGCTGAGTTCGGACGGCTCAGTGGTGTGGATGGGTTTGATCAAAACAAATTACTTTAATCTCAGAAATTCTGAGTGTTTTCTCTGAATTTTACCCCTCCCCCATGGTTTATTATTAGTGCTGGGCAAGTTAACATGTTAATTTCGCGTTAACGCATTCATTAATTAACGCCGACAATTATTTTATCGCGCATTAACGCATTTTTTTAATTTATTATAATTTTTTTTTTTTTTTTTAATTGAAAGACAAGAGACAATACATATACATAACAACAAGAGGATGACAAGAACAGTGGGATAAAAGCCAGCAAACATCCTATAGTCAGTAATTTTAGTGCACCTATATGCTGAAATTCACGGTAAACGCATTTAAACGGCACAGATCGGGAGCGAGCGAAGGACTTTGAAAGTTAGCGGAAAGATTTACGTGAGACAACATCCGGTTTCTTCAGACGAACATCCGGTTTCAGAATAAGATGCCAACAAAGTATGAATTATATTCACATTAAGTATAAAACATGCTACCTGCATCTCGTGAACCAAATGTTATTGCCCTTTTGTTCATATAGCAGTACTTTTAAAATAAAAGTGCGCAATACACTACTTTTGAATTCATTATTGAACTTTGCCATAACAATGCGATTAATTGCGATTAATCGATTATTTTAATCGTTGCCCAGCACTATTTATCATCTTTATACCTATAATGGCCTCCATACACCTTAATAGGCCGTATAACAGGGATTTGATTGTTTCAAATGTTAGGGTCACCTGACACAAGACACATGAATCTCATTTGGCTCAGTATTTTGAATTGTTCTTCCCTGTCTTCTGCCTGTTAATCCGTCACCTTCATGAGGAATTCATTATCACGTTCACTTCTGTTTAGTGCCTTCTGCTCAACACGCCAAGTATTTGATTTAAAGGAAATTAGGATTTTACCGCTAAACAGGTGTGAAACCCCAAAGTAGAACAAACACAACAGACACTCCCAACAGGAATGGATGAGAATGTGACACGAGTCACTCTCTGAAATCTCTCCACTCACAGTCAGTGCAGTGTAACGAAAACGTGACTCATAAGAACACCAACAAGCACAACACCTTCAGGTGGGAGTATGTATGTGTTTACATATCTAGCGGGGTTTTGCGTGTTTGAACTTGCATTTCTCACCGCATGTCTGTGGAGAGCTAATAACTGTTTGGAGGACTGCAGGATATGGGAAAACATCCTGGATGAGATTCATTTTGGATGTTAATATGATAATATGAGGTGCAAATTAATGTGCAATTTCAGGGTCGCCAATTTTGTACGCTGCAACTGAAGTCCTTGAACATGTTAATGAAATCATTTGAAAGTGTATCACCTAATAATAATAATACTAACGTTCAGTCAATCCAGTATGCTATTATTTGCGTTGTGTTCTGATCTGCCCTCTGCGATGGGGAACTGAAGCCGATACATCGCTCTCTTCAAAGACACAAGACTCCATTGACAAAAGCAGTGTGAAACTAACGTGGCGTCCACAGCAGGACATCGCTTAGCCTCCGAGCTGTTTCTCCTGTCTGCATGACGACTGCTATCTAAGTTACTGTAGGTAATACACTGACGTGGGAAAAAAACATTTTGACTCTAAAGCATACAGGCTTCGATCAAAACGTGAATGTTCTGATTTGAATACTTTAGGAACACCACCGGGAAGCTATAGAGTGATATAAAAACCTCTGAATGTAACGGACCCGTCCTACCTCTTAAGCACGACACCACCGATATCGGGGGCACTCTGGCTCAGCACCCCTGAAAATATTGTACGAAAAATAGCCTTATTCTTCGGTAATATTGTGGATTTGTCCAGTTTTTTTTCCGGATTAAAAAGTAACGTATGGGCAACACTATCATATAAATCACTTTTTACACACTCCAAACACAACTATAGACTACTAATATAAGCATCTAGAAAATGTGGCATAAAAACATGAAATCCTGGCCAGAAATCGCCGTTATGTGTACGGCAAATCAATATCTGCTCCCTGATGCTAGCGGCTACCAAGCGTTGCAATGCATTTTATAGCATTAGCACTCGTGGCCGAACACATAAATAACTTCGGTTTTTCTCTCCGTGGAAGCAGTAGACAGCTGTGAGTGGACAAAGGTACCATTGTACTGCCCTCCGCCGAAAAAAAATCGTGGGTTTTCGGACCCGTTTTATGAAAAATGAGTACAATAACGTCGCAGATTATCTGTTTCAAAGCTGGAATCATTGTTGCCAACTGCATCCTGTTTACTTCCGAGCTCTTTCCAGAATAAGAGCGGTCAATCCAGCTTGGGCGAGCGGTCAGACTTCCGGCGAGCGGAAATTTACGGTCGGGGAGACGCGGCACTTCTTGCAACGTTACTCGCTGAAACGTCTGTCAATCAACACCAAATTCGACACACGCCTTCCGACTCTGACGCGTCGAAGGAGGGCTTATTGACTGAAATCGACCGATGATAGGCTGAGCTACAGCCCCATACACACACATGAGCTGAGAAAACCCTATAGATGACAGCCAGAAACAGGCTCTGATGATGTTAGGAATCTCAAAATGATTCCTAACAGCTGTATTTGGATGTATTGAATAATATGAGTGATAAAAAAATGAAATATATAGTTATATAGTATATAAAAGTACAATGTAAGAGCTGCAACAGCTGGTTCGAAAATGATGACCTCGCTTGACCTCTCTCTACTAAAGCCTCTTATTCTTCACTTTATCCCACTTTAACCTTTATTCAGCAACTACTGATCGGTTGTGCTATGATTTGGGAGAGTTTTTAGGGAGATATCTGCATTATTTCAAAAACATGTTATCAATAAAAGTGCTTTTTTTCAGGCGAACCTGATTATTTTCAATTTGAGCTGTGTAATGTCTTCATTTACTATATTAACCAGCAACATATACACAATATTACCCATCTGAACAATCTCACAAGTGTTGTGATCTGATTATAGCATCAAAAATTATTAAAATAGACCTTGGAGTTACAGAACTATGGTCACTTTAGTATGGGTATGCCATTTTCGAGCAGAGGCCTACAAATAGGGCCCGAGCTTAAGAGGTTAATGAAGCTGCTGGTGTTGTGTGTGTACTTCGACAGTCAGCGGTCCTGTGGTGGGTCTGTTTGATTTACTCACCCTGATGCTATGAGCGCTCTGGACTGAGCCATCGCAATCCTCTGTAACGCTGGTCTGCTCAGCCCGGCTAAGCTTGATCTCTGTGGCAGAGGGGCATGGCACACTGTCGCTGCAGATGACAGCGTGCGCTGCGGCTTCATCACCATTGGCGACGGAGATGGCACAGGAGAGGGGGGCGTGGTCACGCTGTTGGCAGGGGAGACCAATGTGGCGGTTGGCACTGATTCGTTGGCTGAAGATGAGGAGTGCTTGGCGGGAATGGACGGAGGGATCAGGTTCGGTTTGGATGACGGAGGCTGAGGAGGCGGGAGGGAGGGCGGAGGCGGCCTATTGGAAGACAAGGAGATACCCAGAGAGGAGGTGCCCACGGTGAGGGCGGCCAGCGACTGAGCGAAGAGCTGGGCGTTCCTTCTCGGAGAGGCGGTGTTTCTGGAGATGGCGAGCCCGTGCGGCAGCGTCTGATAGTAGTTGGAGTTTGAGTTTGAGTTCTGCTGCTGTCCTCGCCCCAGAGTGGCGGACTTAGACGGGCTCAGAGGTTTAGAGGAGACCAGCGCTGAGTTCTTGGGCCGCTGCATGGTTAGTGAGCGTCTACCTAGAGTCTGTATCCCTGCTCCTCCTGTATTGTTCTTCACACTGAAGACCAGCATGCACTGCTGGCAGGAACAAGGCTGGCCCAGTCCAGTAGTTGGTCCATTGGGGGAGACAGAGCTTCCAATCCCCATGCTGGCCCCTGACACCCCAACACCAAGCAGGGCTCCTGTTAGGCCTCCTCCTTTGGGTATTGGGAGGGGGCCGGACACTAGAGGGTAGGACATGTCAGCACGTCTCTGGAGCCTCCGACACCTCTGGCTCTGTCTGTTCACCTGCAGGACACAACGAAACAGTCCTTTTACAACATTTCTGATTACTAGTTCAAGGGTACAGGGGTACTTTTCCACCTGGACCCTATTTAGTTTTGTCTAACTATTACAATTACAGGCAATTTCTGAATGGGTCCAGTACTGATCCAGAGGGGTGCAATGTAATCCTGATTCCGAAGTGTCTGACAACATTATGAAAAGAGTCTCGCTCAAGGAGACGTCTCTTTCTGAAATCTTGCGATGTGCCGGGCAGAGTTTGTTAGAGAGAAAGACACATACACACAGAGAGAGAGAGAGAGAGAGAGAGACAGAGAGAGAGACAGACAGACAGACAGATAGACAGAGAGACAGAGACAGAGAGACAGAGAGACTGGTGGTGTTCCTGAGGCTGCTGTGACCCTCCGACCACAGAGACCTGATGCTGTCCCATCTTCACAGACGGGATCAAGCGAGAGGTAAAGAGAAGAAGAGGTTGTATTTCTCTGTCGGGTCCTCTCCAGAATCTTGTCAGACTTCTATAATAAATATCTGAGCCTGTCAGCAGCAGGCTGGCACATGCACAGGATGCACTTTTAGTAGACCTAACGTCACATTGGTGCTGTGCAATGCCCTCGCAGCTCATTTAGCAGCTGCCAGCTGCAGCAAATTCGCTAAATACTGGAGAAAATTATAAAAACGTTGTTCCAGTCATGAGAAAACAGGGTCCAGGTTGATTACTAGCAAAGTCACCCTTTAGCCCTTATCATGAGCTCATCACAGTACGGGGGAGCTGCCACTTGAAACTAAATATCACTCATTTATTTAAAGAAGAAAAGGTATGGAAGGAGTGTTAAGTTGATTTTGTTATTGATGTCCATGTAAAGAATTCAAACCCACCTGTGTCATGTTGTGAAAATCAATGAGGTAGCAGAAGCCGAGGGGTGTCAGGTCGAGGCAGGGCTGCTGCCGACTGTGGGCGTTCTCGATGGCAATGGCCACCTCCATGTCGTAGGCCGTCCACGTACCCCCATCGTTTTCCCACTCCCACTGCCAGCCCTGACCTGGGGCCGAGACTGGGTCATAGAAACTCCTCCGCACCGGACGGATGGTACCTGAAATAAGCAAAATGTGTGATAGTTATTACTTTGTCCCAATGAGCTTCTTCAATAGTCCACCAAGAGCCTCTCCACCAGATATCAGACACGAGGTTTTAAAAGCAGAGTAAGGTAGGTGGGAGTGGAATAAAAGTACAATACAAACAGATTGGTAAGATCTTCACAAATGAAACATGACAAACATAACAATTACAATTTCATAATATCAAACAAAAAAAAAAAGAAATCTATCATTTAGGAATGCCAGTAAGACCAAGAGACATAGAGCGAGGACAAAATGATACACTTATTAATAATATCATGTAAACTAGGCTTAGGACAGCGGTTAGGAGCTCCATCCTGAGTACACCAGGAGCTCTGCACACACAGATAAATAACCTGCACACACAGCATCTAAAATCACAAAGCCCTTGATCTTCTTCAACTACTCACAGTGTCCCCCTTTCAGAAAGCTTTGAGTTAGATTGAGGTAGAGATTTAGAAACACAGTAACTATGATCATGTGATCTCTGGATTATCTCTGGATCTCTGATCAGATGGGTCGATGTTATGATGAGCGAGACGCTCTGTGGCTCCTGTAGCTCGGGGGATGAATTACAGGAAACAAAGCCGTCTCTGGAGTCTTCATTTTAAAAGTGTTGTAGGTAATGTCAGGTTCTAATGTAAAAACAAAAGTAACGGACAGAAGAAAACCTTCTGTCTGCGTTCTCTCCGTCTTGTGGGTCATGTGGAATTCTAAGTGGTAAATGTTAGGAAAAGTAACTGATACATATTTAAAGAAACGTTGAAGGGTGTGCTGTTGTGTTGCCTTATACAGCTATATGTTTCTAAATAGGAGATTAGTTTGGTTGGACTGTTCCTGACCCTGAACAGGATAAGCGGTTTGGATAATGAATGAATGAATGAATGTTCAGTAACTTGAAAAATAGTCTTAGAAACCATCCAAGAGAGAAGTGGGAGGAGGGTCCCTAAACCAACCAATCAGAAACTACCTCAGTCTCCAGGGGTAACAGGCTATTCAGTCCATGCCAGGACAAGGAGACGAAGACATATATGTGTGTGTGTGTGTGTGTGTGTGAGAAACTAATACAAAGAGGTTATATTGGCAGAGTGGCATCAGCACAAAGACATCAAAAGGATGGGGCTGAATGGAGGGAGGCTGCATTTGTTTGGTGAGGACAGAAAGACAGAGGGACAGAGAGACAGAAAGACACGGAGACAGAGGGACAGAGAGACAGAAAGACAGAGACAGAAAGACAGAGAGGCAGAGAGACAGAGGGACAAAGAGACAGAGGGACAGAGGGACCGAGAGACAGAGAGAGAGAAAGACAGAGGGACAGACAGAAAGACAGAGGGAGAGAGAGACAGAGAGACAGATGGTGAATAACTGTATAGTTTATGTGTATAGTTCCCTCACAAGAAGATACCAATGTATCTATTTAGAGGACAGAGGACATGTTACACAGGAGACAAACATGATATGAAGGGGTGAGACAAAGACAAAGTGAGTGTTTGTGAAAGAGTGAGACCCCCGTCCTCCTCTCTCGCTCTCTGATGATTACCACGTCAAATCTCAACCTGCAGAGCCAACGTCCATTCACAGCCAGACAGGGGGCTACTAGCTGGTCCAGTTTGTGCTGCTCCCATAATTAGTTGGTTGTTTAGTCAGTAATTCTACAAGAAACAGGCCTACTAATTAAAGGGACATATCATGCTCATTGTCAGGCTCACACTTGTATAGAAATACAG